TTTTTTTTTTTGGTCTAGGAACTTTATGGAATGATAAGTTTTTCTTATTTTCCTTATGAACAATGGAAAGGCTAGACAATTCTGTTTAATATAAGAACCTTGGAAATATGAACAATAAGGAGGGATTTGATGCTTCCCAAGTTTAGTCAATGGAAAGGCTAGACAATTCACTTTGATTCGAGGAGAACCTTGGAAAGGAAAATTCGAACATTCTCCTAGGTTCCCTTGATTTACACACACCACGTGTATGTGTGTGTGTAAATCAAGGACACACACCATGTGTGTGTGTGTATTTTGTGTGTGTAAATCAAGAGGCCTAGGGATTGACTGCACTACCCGTATGGGCAACATCGAATTAGCTACTTGGAAATATGAACAAAAAGGAGGGATTTGATGCTTCTTAGGTTAATCTACAATCAACACCAAAAAAATTCAGGCACAAGTCACCCGGTTGCACCTGGCTTAAAAGGTGTGACTGATTATGAATCCAACTCAAAAAAAAAAAAAAAAAAAAAAAAAAAAAAAAAAAACCAATCATTTTAAATTCAATCAACTTGTTACCTCACTATCCTCTAGTGTACTGTTATCAACATAATTAAAATAATATCAATCAATCATTCTTCCAAATCACATCAATTTTAGTTCATCTACTCAAATAATTTTAACTAAACATCACTTTACATTATCTCTCTTATACTTTAAATCAAATAAACATTAACTGTTTTATTTTAAATATTATTTTAATATAAACTCGAAATCTCACTAACAACTCACCATACCACTTTTTTCAAAACTAACTATGGTTAACAAAAAAATCAATCCAAACAAAATCAAATCCATATCCAATCACACCGCAACATCTTGAACTTTGGTAGCGGCAATCACACCCCAACACCTTAAGCTTTGGTAGCTGAGTAAAATTGTTAAGAGACAAAAATATATTTTCCCGTCAGCTACCAAACTGGCCGACTATCTCGTGAAGGGATTGGAACAGATCATTTGTCGCGATTCATTTCGGCATCCGAAGATGATGCATTACCATCTTCTCTTAAATTAATGCATTTTCAAAAGAAAATCAACATTCACAAGTCCGTTTATGATAATGATGGGTGTTCATGTGTTCATTTTGAGATAGATTTTGATTATGTATAAAACCCTCACATGCAAATATGAACTTGTTGACAAATCCATTGTAAATAAGTCATACTACTAAATGGACTATTTCAAAAGTACTCCGAACAAATAGCCAGTTCATGAAGAAAAAAAA